AAAACAGAAATACGTAACTCAGTGGGAAGAACAAATACAACAACCACAGCAAAAGCTGTGGTTATAACAGTTCTGTCGACAAAAACACTCAGGTTCTTCACAGATCTTCTATCAGGCTAGAATATATCTCTTGGGGGGAAATATGCAAATACTTAGGGGAGACCTCTCCATTCTACAACCAAAAGATGCAGGATGATGGCAGACTAGCCCATATTCTAGTTCAGCTCTGTAGATTTCAGTATTAAATATCATGGGATCTAAATAGCTCATTACTTTCTTCATTTGTTCTTCAATGTGTGGGGTTGGTATGCAAGAGTTTGCACATTCAAGTTCAAGTCTTGCATTTGGCCATCAAAATTAGGAAATTATTGCCTTTGTATAGTTATATAGAACTTGTCTGCTTCATTATGCATTAGAGTATGCTGGTTGCCCATTACTTCATTCTGCTGATCCTGTAGCACTTCTGCCTGCCATTTCTGTCTTCTACCTGTAGAAACAGAGCACCTTATTATTTTTTAAGTCCACAAAAGAAGAAAAGAGTATTATCTGAGAATAAACAACAATGGGATAATATCAGCATTACAACATATATTTTGTAATATTCTTTTCATCAACAAGCTTCAAATATATAGAAAACAACTTTTAAAACTAAAGGATAATTTATGCAGTAAACCAGCCATTTTCACCTGGGGCATCCTGTATATTGGTATTGCAGACCTAACACACATGAATTATGCCTGATTGGAAAGGCAGAGTAATACATTCAACACAAACAGCATTTGCATATCATTTTCCAGGATAATGGGGTTGTAGTCTATAAATAAAATGTAGCCTATATAAAAAAGAGAGCCAGTTTGGTGTAGTGGTTAAGGTACCAGGCTAGAAACCATGAGATTGTGAGTTCTAGTCCTGCCTTAGGCATGAAAGCCGGCTGGGTGACCTTGGGCCAGTCACTGTCTCTCAGCCCAAGGGAGGAGGCAATGGCAAACCACTTCTGAAATCTTGCCAAGAAAACTGCAGGGACTTGACCAGGCAGTCACCAGGAGTTAAGACTGACTCAAAGGCATGCACGCACACACAGTTTATAAATCATGGTTTAAGTTATTTTGTGTAACACTAGCTAGTTGTGTTTTATTTCACAAGCCATAGTTAAACAAACAATAGCTTAGTGAAACAGTCCTTAGGAAAGATTTCTTTCTTCTATTGATACATAAAGATACCAATGGTGTAAAAATCAGAAGATAGGCTCCTGTTTTATGAATTGGAATTAGTCTCAGTGATCTTCCAAGAATCCCTTCCTATTCTGCAATTTTAGGAGATGGGTGTAGAGATAGGCATCAGAATGACTGCTCAGAGTTTATTCCTTTTAAGACCTGATAAAGGGGCAGTTGCTAGCCCTGATCACATCTGAATGCCCCAAGAAGATGGTTTTACCAGATCAGGCCTAGTAGTATGTGTTTCCTGATGGAAAGATGTTTCCTGATGGAAGATGATTTATCTTTTGGAAAGATTAGGCCAAGAAGAGGGACTGCCCAAAGCCACTTTTTTTCAAGGCAGTTCAAGAGGCAGAGGGCTAACTATTCTATGGAGGTATAAAATCCCTTGAACAGAGATAGGAATCCTTTGCCATTTTCATGGTGTGAATTCCTCATTTTCTGCCAAGCTTGTAAATATGTGTAGATAAACCATTTCTTGCAGAAATACTGTTATATACCCTCCCAAGAAAGAGGAGTATTTTGGATTATCAATGCTGCGGTGCCTCATGTTATACTCCACTTGTGCGCATAGATTTGTGCGTATATTATTGGTGTCAGCAGATGGCAGCACTTGGCTGAACTTGGAAGCTAAGCTGGGTTGGTCATTATTAGCATCTGGATGGGAGATCAATAGAAAATCCTAGGGCTGTTGACTAGAGTGGAAAGTCGGGAGAACATCCCAGAACCTTGCAGTGGCAAACTACTTCAGTACTGTTCCAAGAAAACTGCATGGTTGTGCAGCCCGTGAAATCAACCAAGAATTGAGCTCAGCTTGAGGGCATCTTTACCCTTCTCTGTGTAAGAAAAATTACTACACCAAAAGACCAAAAGCCTATTTACACAACATGCTTAAGCCACAGCATTTCCATATCCCCGCCATTTCTGCTCCCGAAACCCTTAAAAGCACTTTGAAGCTAACAAGCAATCATCTTCATTAGTACTACCAACCTCAACCTCAAAATGCTGACAACACTGTTATTGCTCCCTCTAGTGGCCATAAAAGTGCATTCCGTCAGGCCTCCTCCCCATCCACTGTTTCAGCTCATTAAGCGTCCCTTTCTCTGGCACTATCCCTCTGCTGACATTAAAAGTCCAGTGAAACATGGCAATGAAACCTCTGCAGGGAGGATGGAGAGGCTGGCTTGAGCCCAAGAGGCAGAAGGAGGGGTGAGGCAAGAGTTTCCACAAATGGGGAAATAGCTCCATTCAAACTCTGCTTAGCACTTTGAATAGAAAATCATCTTCAGTGTGATTCTGGATGTGCAACGGCTGATTCATAAATATGATCAATTGTCAAACCACTGACAGTGATGAAGGAATTACCAATGCAGAACTCTTTTTGGAAAGTGCAACAACTGAGAGTGAAGGTCCCTCTGTTTAGCCACCATTTCTCTAATAGCTTTTTTACTGATGGTTCTGGCAGCACCCAATGACTCCCAATGGGTCAGAAGCTCCATTTGGGTGGAATACAGAATCTATGCTTATTTCTTTAGGAAGCACTTAGTACTGGTCCCAGGAGATTCCTGTATTACCAGCATTTCTTCATTGTCAGGCACTGGGCATGGCTTGAGGCTGCTGCCAGTCAGTGCTCAGAAGGCATGTTCTGTGGCTGTCAGAATTCAGGGGAATCTGTAATGCAGAGTCTTGCTTTTTCAGCTGCTCTCTACCTTCTTCGTGCTCTAAGCAGGGCTTTAGAACTGCCCAGGCAGAGATAAGGCAACTCCAGATGTTGCTGAACTGCAGTTCCTCAATATTGGCCATGCTTCCTGGGGAATGCTGGGAGTTGTAGTTCAGCAATACCTGTTGTAGTTCAGCAGGTACCAGTTGCTTACTCCTGTGATTAGAAGTTGTTAAATCTAAAGCAAATGGAGATGAGTTTGGGTGGGTAGGTGGGTGAGGTTATAACAAGCCCTTTCCTGCTCCACTACTCAATGTGGTGTTTGCACAACATGCTTATCCCACTTATGCAAACCCAGTTTCCAGTGACCTTCTTCGAAGCAATGGAAATCTGGATAAAAGTTGAACATTCACACCATTCGAAATGTTGTTCCTCCATGGCTCCATACTATAAAATTCCAGTAACGTATAAAACAGTAATGTTAGGTGGGAGAAGTAGTATGTCATGTGAAAGGTTCCCACTAGTGTTGGGATTAATGCATGAAGCTACTATATCTTGGCTGCAGAAATCCTCAGGATCACTGAATGCAGCAAAGAATTAGGGTTCCTGTAGTGCTTGCTGACATCTAGCAGCAAAATCCAATAGCCCTATTAAAGGGAGCATCTGATCTCCAACTGATCTACAATGAGAGTTTCATGATTTAGATGTTACCAAAGTAATAATGGGATGCAGCCACAGAAAAGCAGCTTCTTTGGATGCATTCAGGCCTATCTGCAAGGGAATGAAGGAAAAAATAACAATTTGGACATGCAGGAATCCCAGGAATCAAATATTTAATCTATTTGATATGGTACTGAAACAACTTGGGCCAAAAATAACATCAGATGAAGAACTATAATCTTTGCATTTAATTGCTGGTACCTTTCTGAAGTTAATATGGTGGATGATTTAATGTTTGAAGAGATGAGTTCTGTTATCAAACAAAGCACTACACTCACCCACCCCTGGAATAAAAAAACAATACAGTAATCAATACAATTTTCTTCGTGTTTGCTAAGGTGTGGGATGGCATTGCTACATTATGCAACTCTAAAGGGGTAGGGGAAACCTTTGTAGTGTGATATTAAGACAATATAATATTCAGATAGTATCAATGCAATGAGTTTGTAGTAAATAAAACCCAACAACTTCAAATAGGTTTCAGCAGCATAGCTTTCTCCTATTAGAGAGTAAATTATGAGACAGAAACATGGAACTTGTAGTAATTCATTGTTTGATGGTTAGAGGCTTTTTTCTTTATTGAAAATTGGTAGCGATACAAGAACCATGTAAATTTTCAGGGTATCCATGACGTTCCAAAGAAGACTTTTTCCCTTCTGTATTTACCTTGGAAAACTCCAGAATTGATCAGGAGAGGTAAAGAATAAACACTGAGGAATCCGAATTTCCTGATGATTGTTCCTTTGTTCTTGTTTTGTTTTGGCAAGCTATTCTGGGCTTCAATCAAATGTGAAAACCAATAAAACATACATAGCAAAGGATGTGTGTTGGGGACACAGAACAGGGAGGGAGTAGGCAAAGACAAAGAAGCAGTCTGGATGCAATTGATAAGTTCCATAAAGTCACGCCTATTCCTTAGCTGCAAACATTTCTTTCATTCCGGTCTATGGAATGGAATGAATTAAAATCGTGTACAGACTTTGTTGTAGAGCCCAAAGATTCTCCAGAGTTTCTCAGCTTCCTCAACAGAATTATCTGCCCCAAACTGTCAGTTCCAATGTGTATTCAGCCTGGTTCTGAAACATTCATCTGAAGATCTGGTACTCTCTCCCCTCTGATCTAAAAAACCATTCCACCATCAAATTCTATTTTTTTTTTCAGGAAAATAAATATTTTGTGTACAAAATGTAGAACTAAAAGTTTCCGCTACTGAAGTTTGCATCC